TCTCAAACCTGATATCGTCCTGGTGAATGTACACTGCGCCCACTCTACATGGCGAAAGAGCTGGAAATTGTGATGAAAGGTAATATACAGTTTTACAATTTTGGATCTCACTAGAAACTATATGATTTCCTTCCCCAGATCATTTTCATCTGACACCGTGAAAAGCTCTGGTAACTGGGATTAGTTTTAATGTTATTGACGATTTGAATAAATGTTTCTTGTAACACCCAAGAAAGTTTAACGGACATTCAGTTAATGGAGTCCAAATTATATTGATTCAATGCCCTGCCAAAATCCCTTTCTCAACACACACTTGGCAGATTGACTCCAGCAAAAAAATTGCTTTAAATCCTGCACTTCCAACCCAATTTACACTATTGTATTGCAGTGATTCAGTAAAAAATGTTTTAAGGTGAATTGTGTAGAGTTGCTTAATGGAATATGCTATTATTCCACCATGTGCTGTTCTATTGTTCTAAGTTACTGTACTGGAAAGATTTGTAATTGCCATTTGTTGATTACAATTTAGTCTACTGAGTTGAATCTTCAATAAAGTTGAGTAGTCGGATAATGAAACTGATCAGTCTTGTAATGCAGCATTGTAATGCAGCACTGAGCCATAATTCATTATCAACTTTTTAAATGTAGAATAACCTATTTAAAGGAAAGTACAAATGATCAGATCTATACCCATTTTAGGGTGCTGGTGTCCTGTAACCTCAGTGTGGTACATCCAGATTCTGGTGTTGACTAGCTACCTTCCTGCACTACAAAATTGCCTACTTCTAAAGTTTCCGTTCACTTCTGCTGTCACATCCTGCGTGCTATGTCCAGGAAGCACCTCTGACATCATTTCAGGAAAGAAGTCAGGTCAACAGTAAGCATGCGCGACATGCAGGAAATTATGTCACTGGAGACCTGATGATCCAGAAGTCATGTTTTGGCTTAGAATGTGTCCATGGAGATATTGGCCCCAGACGACCACACTATAATGGGATTTCCATGCATTCAAGAGTACTGCACCAAAATGCATACAAATTCTAGAAAATTAGAGGTATTAAGAAAATGTGTTCAATGACACATTACAGTTACAATGACTTAGCTTAGTATTCTTTCAGCATTACAATTGTCTTTATTAACCAGGAGGCTAAAATAAAGATATGAAGTCCCACTCTTAATGGCTATCCAGAGGACTCCTGATGGCAAATGCTAATATCTAGTTGTCAGGTGAAGATAGCATCAGACTCTTTTCTCTTTCACTTCTACTGTCAGATAGCCTGCTGACAACTCTGCTTATATTGAGACATGAAGAATGGCCACTTGGGTGAGTTACCAATGGCTTGCTGTTGACTGTGGACTTGACTCAAATATAAATCAGGAAAGAATGGGATAAAAGAATAATTGAATAATAAGCAGCCATTAACGAATAATGGTATGATTTTCTGCTGCATTTATAAATATTATACTTGAAATTTGACATAAGGAATGGGTGAAGACTCGTGTGAAGTATAAATACCGGCACTCACTGGTTGAGCCAAGTGACCTGTTTCATGCTGTAAATTTGTGATTCATTACAATATCTCAGAAAATGAAAATGTTTCAACCAGTAACCTGACCTGCAATATCAATAAACTCAAATCACTGAATGCAGTTAAATATTCTGCCTATAAATATATAGTCACAATACTACCCAGGTTAATTTAAACCCAGTGAGGCACATTTGAGACATTTCAATCCAATAAGGTGCCGTACGAAATGCAAGGATTATTATTTACTGCATGAACCTATGCATAAATATAAAGTACATCAAACTTGATTTCATTTCTTTTCACTTATAAGTTTTCAAAACATCCATTAGTTATTATATAGATTGAATATCCCAAGGGTAACAGTGTTGCATCAAATTTAAATATCTTTTAACCCACACATGTTTGAAATCGTGGTATGTTTACATGGCCAAGTAATAATAATAATAATAAAAATCCTTGCATTTGATATAGCGCTTTTCACGTCGGGAGGACGTCCCAAAGCGCTTCACAGAACACACTGTAAAGTGAATTGACTGTATATTTGTGGGCGAACGCGGCAGCCAATTGCGCACAGCAATGTCCCACAAACAGTCATGGATGGAAAATGACCAATTTATTATTGTTTTTGGTTTTGGAGGGATTATTATTAGGCTCTGTGTGGAGTAAGGAAACTTGCCCAAGGTTTCGCCCTGTCTGGAATTGAACTCAGGTCTCTCGCTTGCAAAGCGAGTGCTCTAACCACTGAGCTACAGGACTCCACAGTTGTTGTAGTAATGTAGTTGATGAGATTTAAGAATCCAAGTTCGCAGATCATTATATGCTAGCTCATGGATGCAAAAAGGAATCAAAAGGGCTAATGGGATGTTAGCCTTAATCTCAAGAAGGCTGGATACAAAAGCAAAGGAGTAATAATTCAGGTAGACCTCATCTGGAGTATTGTTTTCAGATTTGGACGTCACACCTCAACAAAGATTACTGGAATTGGAGGGTCTTTGCTTCTGGAAGAGGTAAGCCAGTTCTCCTTGGAGTTGAATGGCTCCAAGGTGACAAGTTGACCACAGAATGTTGGAATCAAGCCCATCCTGTGTGGCTCTCTCAGTTGTTCAGTTCCTAGGCCAGGCAGGACCACAATACTGCAGGGCAACGCTGATGATAACGCAGCCAGCCTGGCTCATCAACAGGACCTAGGAGGGCTAATCAATGGCAAGCTACATGGTTTTAGCTGGTTAGACTCCAGCAGTACCCCAACGCACATTCTGGCTTCCCCAAGTCTTGGCTCTTGCCAACTTGTACCTAATACCTTCTGGATTTAAATAAACAGGATACATCCCTCCTGGGAGAGAGTGCACATTCCATTCCAATAAACAGCTCCAGAATTTCCATGTATAGGTGCAATGAATGGAATTATCAGTTTGATTTGGATACTGTTAATCATGGTGATGGGTTTCTGGATGTGTCAAGACACCTGACTGACCAAAAACAACAAATTGGAGGGTGTGCAGCATAAATTCACCAGAACAGTATTAAACTGAAGGGAGAAGTTTGGCAATAATTTAAACCATCTGCTATTCATCCATGTCCTTTAAAAAGGCGGGGGTTGCAAAAACTGTACATAATATTTTAAATGTGGTTTCACTAATTTACACAAAAATATGATAGTATAATAGCTTCATAATTATTGGACACGTTCAATTAATGATCAGCAATCATTCCCAAAATCTTCTTTCTATGTTTATACATGCATTTACAGTTCCAAAATGCATTATCACACATTTATGTACATAAATAAAATATTACAGTAGTGTTTTACGATATGTTAAAAGCAATTCAATCCATTAGTTAATAGTCTTCGGGGTGCTGTGAAATATGAATTGTGTCTCCTTGCTACATTATCCCTAACACAATTGCCTGAATCCATAACAGAGAAAGGTTGATGAAAGAGTCAGACATCTGAAGATATATCTGAAGATTTCAGAATTCAAGAAAAGGTTCCAGAAAAGTTCAAGGGTTTTGGGGTGTAATGACTGAAAGCACAGTTCCCAATGGTTGAATGAAGGGAAGAGGGACATGCAGAAGGCTGGGGCCAGTAGAACAGAGGGGAGGAGAAGGGTGTAATCAGGTCAGAGAGTTAGGGAAATGACAAAGTACAAAATGGTTTGTACACAAGTATGAGGATCTTGAACCCAATTCTGTTCTGCCATAGGAAGTCCATGGAGCCTGTTAAGAACTGGGGTGCTAGGAGTGTGATGTTTAGTACAGGTGAGGATATGGGCGGCGGTGTTTTGAATTAACTGGATTTTATGAATGCTGAAACTGGAGAGGCTGGAGTACTAAGTAAAGTATCATATAGGATAATGTCTCAGAGCAATTAACCACAATGGAGTTGAACACCAAATCTAAATGCCATCCTGAAATTAATCAAATGCAACTGAGAATAATCAGACTATTATATGGACTGTACTAGAAATCATACAATGCTTACAGGATAGAAAGAGGCCATTTGGCTCAATGTGTTAGTGTTTGTGCTAGTTGCCCTACTATGGAAAATATGGACAGGGTGGTGACTTCATCAAACTCCTTTAAACAATGAAGTGATAATTCTGAATCACAGAATTGATTATTCAATGCAAAGTACCTTTAGGTTAGATACATGGAAATCTACAATGCAGAAACAGGCTGTCAAATCGCACCAGCTCACAGGGCAAGAAGATCAATTAAATCCCACTGCCCCACCTTATCCCCATACCCTTCAAGTCTATCTCTTTGATATGCCTTTCTGCTTCCCTCTTGAAAACTACAGTGGACTCCACCTCCACCACCACACTCAGCACATCATGCACATCCCAACCACTCCCTGGATGAAAAAACAGTATGTCCAAGGATTATCATGCATGAGTTGTGCCTAATTTGATCATTAGTTACACTGATTTCTATAGCACTTATGAAAGAACACCAATAAATCATGACAGACAGCAGATTCAGTGACACCACCCACAAGTATCACAGTCTGATCCTGAATAGCTCCATCTACTGGAGCCATTTTGTCATAATGCTGCACATAACTCAGGGGAGTAAATAATTCAGTGTCCACATCAGTATCAAGCTTAAAGCAGAAACAAAGCTATCTCCAGATTCAAGAATGGGGTAAGCAGGCAGGTAATCTATTCACTCGGCTTCAAAATGGTGTTGCTTTAGCATAAGTACTTGCAGGATAACTGAGGCAATTGATCAATTCTTGCTTCCACAAACAATACCAGACTATATTTGTTTTTTTCCTTATTCTGGGAAATAACAGGTAAATTATATTTATTGTAATTGATAAACTTGGTGAAATGCTGGTGCCCAGCAAGGCATGAAAAAACAAGTTTGGGTTTTAAAGAATGTCAGTGTAAGACCAAAGGAGACAATTAATTCCATTGTATCGTTATAATTTCTGATTTTAAGATAAATATTCAGAAAAGTTGGACTAACCTTTAGTGGAGAAATGTGAGCATGTGACACATATCCGTGGACATTCTCAATCTGCGATAAATTCTTCTCAGACACGTAGACAAGCTCAGGGCCTTTAATTTCATTGGTTAGCCGTGGCAAGGTGTAGTCTTCTGGTAGTGAATCTTCATTATGATAATGATACTTCTGAAAAAAAACAAAGGAAATTTGTGAAAAACATGAAGATGAATTAGGAAAGCAGTGGACATATGTGTTCAGGTTCAACTTAGAATTTTGATTTTGAAAATTGATTTTGAAAATTATGTGCGGTGACTGAGTTGCACAAGCTTCAGCAAGTTATTTTTTAATACTTCTTGGTCTTTGCTATTTTGCTCATATAGTAAAAATAGGTCTCTATTATTCTCCCAAGAGGGTCATATTTCTTTGTTACACACTTAATACACCCTTTTAAATTCTACACTCAGTGCCACAAAAACAAATACATTAGTAATTTAAACAAGAAGTAGTTAGTGAATAATGTTGGTTACAAGGGGCAATTGTTCAAATATATTTGATACAACTAAATACAGAAATATCCCAAACGAAGAAATAAATTTGTATAATCCTTAAAAAATAAACACTACAGTGAATCAAAGATGTATAAAAATAAGCAACATAAGCTTAATAGACACCCTTGGGTAGAGGTGATATTTATTGTGGCTGGTATTGAACCTGTATTTTTCAGATTGGGATGTTCTGTGCAGAGTTAATGCTAAATTATTTGATTTTGGACATTTTTTGATTTTCATTCATGCTTGTAATCTCAATTTATTAACTACACACATATCACTATACTCCCACTACATTCTAAATCCAATTAGTACAACTGCAATAATGCAGCCTTACAATACCTTCACACAAATAGGAATGGTTCTTGAAGTGATAACTTAATATAACTATTAATAGAAAATAAAAAAAACTTCTGAAACTTTACAATACAAGATGCATAACAAAATTGATTGACTTCTCAATAAAATAACTAGCTTTTACTACCTTCTGGTCTCTCCGGGGAAAGGATGGAACAACAAAGTTCAGGGGATGCAGATTTTCACATAACTATTCTACATTGGATAAAAGGAGTGATGTTTTGCTGTATCGGCCTTCTCATTTTTTGCTACTTGAAAAGATGTTCCTTATACGGGATTTATCTTAGAATCTGTGAAAGTCACCTTTTTGGCAATTCAATGTTTAAATGTCATTCAATGAATGCCAAGCATTCAGTCAAATCTCTGGAATCTAGTGCTGCATTGATGGACAGCATGGAATGCCACATATAAGCTTCAAACATGTATTTGAGGCATGAAATTCAATTTTATATCCCTTCAGATTGAAGGAAAAAATCGCATTTACTGTTAAAATACAATTTTAGAAAACGTGGATGGCTTCTTGATCTAATAGCCTTCACCACTCTTAATTACACTGGGCGACTGGAGGCTATGAGCTGCGGCAACTTTGTTTTCATAGTGATGTTAGAGCCAGTGAGAAATCATTAATTCTGCTCTTCCAAGGATCATATTACACCTGGTAATATGTATTACTCTGGTTGAAGACTTATTCCAGTATTTTTAAAACTTCACATGTGCAACTTATTTCAACCTTTACTGCATCATTTAATATAATAATAATGATCATGGCATTTAATGTAATGTCTTTCCCATAGGGATGATGTCTCTAAACGCATCACAGGAATTTTACTATAAAGAGTAATGATTGTGTATTTTGTAGGTAAATGTGGCAGTCAATTTTATTCACAGTAGTATCCCACAAACATGGGATTTTTAACATACACCTGATCAGTCAAATGCGACCTCAGTTTAACATCTAATCAATAGGACAACACCTCCAGCAATGCAACACACTCCCAGAACTGAAATGAAGTGTCATCCTCAACAAAATGAGTTTAAAGTCCTGACATTTGTCATGAATTTACAACCTTCACACCTACACAGGTGCGAGTGCTACTAACTGAGCCAGGCTAACACTATCTGCTGCTTTTCACTGGTTAGGACTTAAAAACATATGTTGCAATTGATCAAATATGTACACTTGTATATACAATATAATTGTATTGTGCCTGTATATGACCAAAGGCAGCACAGGATTCAAATGTAATATCATATTCATACATCTGTGTCCAGCTGTGCCAATTAACAATGTCATAAGTTTTCTTCTACTTTGAGATTTGAGGTTAAAAGGTGAGGAGAGCATACTTCTCCTTAAAGGTCCCATGGCTCACAGAGGTGTGAAGCGGTCAATTTCTAATAGATTTCTGGAGGCAGAGAAACTAATTTTTGCTGATAAGGTACAAAGAAAATTCTAAAACCAATGGTCTGAAATTTGGTCATTTTATACCTATCGGAATGAACTTTTGAAAGTTCAAGGTTAATAATAATTCTTGCATTTGATATAGTGCCTTATCACATCATTGAAATGTCTTAAAGCACTTGACAGGATATATTGTAAAGTGGACTGAATGTGTATTTTGTAGGTAAAACACAGCAGCCAGTCGTGTACAGCAATGTCCCACAAGCAGCCATGGTAGATGTTGTTTTACAATCTGAGGAAGTTTGGCGCACTTTGCATCAAAATTTAAACATCAGGTCTTATCTAGACCTTGAGTATTCAAGGGTATGCAAATAGTATAAAATAGTTACTTCTAAAATTAAGAGTTAGTTGGTTCCTCTGTTAAACAGTTGACACAGAACTAGACAGAGATGGAACATCACTCCCGAAGATCTTTCAGAACTCAAAATGCTACCTGCGTGAAGGATGCTATATAAATGTAAACTGTTGCTGTAGCACCAGCTATAAAAAAATGTTACTTCTAACATGTTTGGCCATTTCTTGGTTTATTCCAGCACTTTGTTCTATTCATATTAATCTACTGTTGTACTCTTGTATTGTACATCCTAGCTAAATGATTAAATCTATTTTTGTTGAATAAATTTATATCTGATTCAAAATGATCCAGGGAAAGGTCACTGAGTTCATCTAAATGGATAGCTCTTCCAGAGAATGAACACAGGCATAATGAGCCAAATTGTCTCCTTCTGTGCTATACAATTCTATGATTTTAATTGGAAATGAACTGTGCCACTAATACTTGTCACTTACCAAAAGTGACAGAGCTATTAAAGGTCTACACTCTGTTATAATAATTATAGTATTGTTTAATCTCATGAAGTTTTTTCTTAATAAAGAGGATGTATCACCCGAGAGACGGCATAGTGTTAGGTCATAGGAAACTTAGTCTGCTTACATATTACCACATATTAACTTAAAAGAGTTAGTGTCAACTATTATAAAATATAACTGGTAGTAGCGATAGAAAGAGAGGAGTGAGGGTGAGGGGGGGGGAAGGAAACCTATATTCTCATTAAGAAACCTTTTATATCCAATAATGAAGTTATAAGGGCATTACATCTGGTTCTGTCTATATGTTATATAAAGGTCATGTTACCCCAGCACCGGGTGTTCTGTTTAACAAGGTGAATCGCTAAGCCCTGCAGTGTAGAACACCATCAAGTTTGTAAACAATAAAAGAGATTACAAAAGAAAATAGAATAAATTGCTGATATTTAACAATGTAAATCCATTATAAAACATCATTAAAATAAAAAGCTGTCTACCAACTTTTAATTTGTTCCTTACTATATGACTCCTTCAGTGTCATGAACAATTTGCTTCAAATGTCATTGCCAACAAATACCCAGATGTTACACTTGACAGTAATACATGTGCTGTGAGATATTTCAACATTCTAGGGTTATATCAAAGACAAGGATTATTGATGTAGATTTAACGATAATAACCTATAACCTATATTAACACACTGTATGACTAATTGTTGAAGTACAGCCACATTATTGGGCACATGCTTATGGGTGTGCTTGGAATATACAGGGAGTGCTTGACATAGCAGGTATGAGCAGTGCGCAGAAAGCAATGTTCGTGGAGACTTTCAGGAAATTGCATCAGATGCACTTCTTACATTCTGCACACATGCACAGCACACAGGAAGTTATGCCAAGAAAGCCATTTTGGCTTTGTGCCCCATTATAATGCAACAGTGTGATTTTTGAGGTCCAGAACACAATCTTAGGGTTTTTCTTTAAATAGCAAATACCACGTAAAACCAAACAACTTCCTCGAGATCAGTGTTGTCTACTGAAATAGCCCCAAGTGTGGCTATGGCTATCACTGTTTTAGCCACATGCACTAATTTGAGTAGAAAACGTCTTACATACGCTCACACAGTACAGGTAAATGTACTTCACATGTATATTTACTGAACAAACATCACTACCATTCAGTGCAAACATTTGCAGTCTTTTTCATCAAAGTTTGGAATTCTGGCATGAATTTATCAGACACAGCACATCTTAGTGCAGCTTCCACGTTTTTAAAAAAAACACTTGCACACCCTGGTTTTCATCTTACCGTTTTACCAACAAATTCACAAAAGGTACGTACACAAATATAAGTATTGAGATCACACCCAAATCATGCCCAAATATTACTCATTTTTTTATTTATTAATTAATGAAAAATAGAATTTAGTTACATCTGGATTCCCAATTAGCCACCTGTGGCTAGTGGCTAATGTAATGGACAACCCTGCTCTAGATACGACTATCATTGAAACCAGAAACTCTCTCATAGACTCACAGCTATTCATAGTAAAATTCTGAGATGAATTCTGAGAAGAAATTGGGTGGTATTCTGCTGTGTACAAGCACTGCATTCAAAAACTGATAGCAAAGATTTTTCTAAAGACAGTTAAATGAAAAAGAATCACAGAGAAATAAAACATCTAGACTGCATTCAAGAAAAGCATACCATTGTCAATCCGTTGGGGTTTAGACATTGCCTTTGTAATAAATGGCACACAAACACCCACTCAAAGTCACAGAATTCCTAAGATCCCAAAACATTTTCTATTAGTCACTATAAATATTATAGTTTTGAGTTTTTAGCTGTCTAGCACTATTAATTTAGAAATCCTTGACCTTGGGAATTTAATGTTTTGAAATTGTCCAGAGAGAGAAATAAGTCCCAATATAGTGGATTTGAGGATGGAGGGGAAAATCACAATCTGAACATTCTAATAATAGGACACAGGCTTACAATCACTTGCATTTATATAG